CGGCATCCCGGTTCTTGGCACATAAATGATCATATACCGTAAACTTGTTCCAACGGATTCATCATCTACAGCCTGGCTATATAGTATGATGCAATGTGAAATTGTAAAAAACAGTTGTTGACCTTCATTATGAGAACTCAAAACTGCAGTCGAACGGTCGAAGTGGTAGTCCTTTACTAGACACTGTCTGCTGATGGTCGAACTAAGTTATTGAGAGTTCGAACGTGCGGCAAGTGAATGTGTTAGCGATAATCCGAATTCGCAACATTATTCATCCCAACGAACTGGGTTGGGCGGATTATTTTCAGACAATCCACTAAGATTGGGCCACCTGTAACGACCTTGGCAAATTGCCCCTCAGTTTGAATGTGAGTTGTTTTCGTGTCTCACTGGATCATTTGTTTCATGGTATGTGTATTTTCCTCTCTTTCAGATTGTCAAACAACCCCCTCAGCACGCAAAACATCCTGTTTGTCTACGGTTCCAGCTCACACCGAGACTCGGCCCACTCGTAGTTGTCTAGTGTATCCGCTCACGGGGGACATCCTGCCGCACACACGAGCCAAGCATCTCAAACAACTTAACACAGTTGAATTACGTCGAATACAGCGGGGTGGCCTCGATGCATTACCCACTCGAGTTAGTGTACCGTTTTCGAAACCGAATAAAACTAAAATTTCTCTGTGAAATTCCTATTCTGTTTTATCCATTTGAATAAAGCGTAACAATATATGCGGGTCCTTCATTTTTCAAAGTTTTCAGTCAACTGTGAACGCGAATCAATCAACTCAGTGGGACAGAGGAGGTGTATTGAGGGATTAAACTAGGAGCTAGGGGGTTACGCATCCCATTATTACACGGGTTGGAAATATGTGCAGTCCCGGGAATCCTAGTAAGACAGCTGCTGTCGATGGTCGCCTCCTCTCAACACAACGTTGCGAAATGTTTGTCCAAGCTGATTAGCGCCAAACTGTCTGAGTTCGGGTTAACAGACAAGTTTAGATAAGAAAAATCAGACTAGGTTATCACAATTTGCTCTTGATTCCTGTGACATTTAGTCCCGACTGAGGAAGTTGTGAAGGAAGTAAGCAAATATACCAAGCAAATAGAATTTTTCTCTAGTGGTCTGAAACCATCACTGAATTTAGGTGTTTTTCTTAACCTTTAAGAACAGTGAAATGCTACCGTAATATACCGTTGATAAGTTGACGATGACCTTGCTGTTCAGGCAATTGCCAGGCGAGAAGCTTTAACTTCTGTTTGGAAGCCCACTTAGATAAGACAATACCTGCACTCCATCAGTTTCTGCTATATTTGATGCAACCACAGTCTTTCTTAAACAGCATATCAAATATGTAAACCTTAGGTCTTTTCAAAGGAAAAGAAAGATAAATAGTCTCCTACTTTGCAGGAGATCGGCTATCCCTTTAAGTTCATTTCAAAAATGTACGGTGACCCCGTCAAGTTCATTCTCAGATGATCGTAAAGGTGAAAAAGATCTAACCATACCTGCCCTTCAAAGGAGATGAAGTGGAAATCAAACTATTTCATGGTATACACGTCGTGAAAGGAAAATATAATGCCGCTGAGTAAAGATCTCATACGGGACGGCTAGTTATTTCACTCACATCAAGCTGTATCGTAAAGATGATAATAATATATTGAATAGTATCTGTACATTTCAACATACCGGTACATCCAACGGATAGAACATTTTCTATCAAATACAAATTACATAGCTACTCCATGAAACCTTGGTCTTCTCGAATAAAATTTACTATCAACTGCGATTTAATCAGTCAATTCAATGCCACCTCTGGTCTGTTGTCCGTTCGAAATGTAACGTTAGAAATTTGTACAAGTGTTCCAGGCTTTTACAATTGACTTTATTTTACGTCCTTGGTAAATATTTCTTAACAATGATCTGGTAGAGATTATGAGAGGCATGCCTGTTCTAGAAAATCATTGTCACAAAGATAGATAAGGCAATCTACAGTGTAAATTATTCGGATTTAGGCACAAAGTTACAAGGCCATTATCCAATCCATTGAATTTCAAGATGGAAATTGAGGAGAAAAGGCCTAGTGCAGGTATACTGCAAGTAGTCTACAGCCTCAAATAATTGATTTTAATGGTACATTTATGAATATTCACGTTTCTAATTTGAACCCAATTGTCACCGAATACAAGCCTAACCACTTGACTCACAAAGGTAACCCTTATTTGGACTGATGTTTAAGCGTTTTAAATCTCAATTTTCCCGCTGTTTAATCACCTCCATAGGGTTTTGGGATTTATCCTCAAAGTATTAAAATATTCCTGCCTACCAGAACAATATAAGGTTTGTTTGACTTTCGTACCCAAAAATATTCATCGCGACAAGCACATAGGCAAACGCTAAATGTCGTTCAGTGAAGGCGATCAACTGTTATTAAACTAAGATCAAAACGTTTCCTCATCTATTTGGTATGTAGAAGTGAAACCGTCTGAATCCCATCTAATAACGTATATCAAATTCAAGTGTACTGTAGTTCATACATGGTCTAAATGAAAGACGACAAATATCCCCCACAATCAGACGTTTAGCCACCCGCCCTCCTTGATACAACTGGTACCGATTTTCTTTGAACATCACTTAGTTATTATCTGAATCGAACATCTTCTCCCGATAAAATGCACTTAACATTAGCCTCTCAAACTAGAACCAATCAATATCTAAATAGAGATGGATGAATCCTCTTTATGAGCAGCATTTTACTAAGAGAAATGATAAATAATTATTACACTAGTACAGCATGTCACGTTTTCAACAGAAATAACAGACATAACTAGTAAGGACACCGCGAGATATTGTCTGCTGTTATTCCAACGGTTCTTCAAGATTCAATGTTTTGATTGCAAAAGGCAAATAGCAGGTACTGTAAATATGACAAAGTACAAAACAAATATCTACAAAATAATAAGATATTACGATACGTTCATCAATATGGGTATTTGATTTCAAACGATCAAGTAAAAAGTGATCACAGCGTGAACTTTTCAATTAATTTTATGACCGTAACCGCGTTTTATCTTTTACCGTAAAACGTCACTTCCTTGGATTTGCATGAACCAACATATTGTCGCGGGTTNCGCGGGTTACTGACCGTGCGCATCTCAGCACGCGCCTCCAGGGTTATGACTCGGTTGGAAACTTTCACAACCTGACTACTGATATCAAGTGAGTGATGGAGGATTTGATTTGATTTCGAAGGTTATTCGTCGTGTATATGGCAAACGAAACGTGAACTGAAAAGCTAGGAAGCACTGGACAGCTGTTTCGACCTGTTTGGGTCTCATCAGCAGTGCGAATCCATCGACCCCACTG